ATGTCCGACAAATTCGAAGACCAAAAAGTAGCAGTTGAAGGTTTTTTTAAAGAAGTAAAAGCTTTAAGAAATGAAAACTCAGAGCTCAAAAAACGAGTAGAGATTTTGGAGCAAAAAATTAATTCTCAAGAACAAAATGAGAAGCAAAATAACTTAATTGTTGTCGGAATACCGAAGCAAGAGGAGAAGGACTCCAAAAAAATTTTTAACAAAGTTATAGCTACATTAGAGATAGACATTAACACACAAGATATTACAGAATGCTACAGATTCAAAAACAAAGAGGATGGACCAATGTTGGTGAAGTTCGCCCGTAAGGAACTAAAACAAAAGTTAATTAAAAAAGTTAAGGAACTAAGAGGGCTGAAAACTCGCGAGTGTGGATTCTTGGGTGAAAACAAAAGCATCTTCTTCAATGATGATTTAACCCAAACAAACCAGATACTTTTCAAGAAAGCAAGAGAGTATAAAAAAACACATAAATTAACTGCTGTATTCTGTAACAATGGATCTATTTTTCTTAAGCGGAGAAGTGAGGATACTCCAGTGAGGATCCGTAGTGAACAAGATTTAACACACTAAATGCCTTACTTGTTATGAACCAAATAAGTGATCAATAAAACACCAACATACTGAAATGGATCCTAACATCAAAGTAAATATAATATACATTAATATAAGAAGTCTCCGTAATAAACTAGATGACCTTTTGGACATAATAAACAAAAGTGATTGTGAAATACATCTTATTGTATTGACTGAAACATGGCTATATGTAAATGAAACGGAATATATAAATATACCTAACTATAGTGCCATACATAACTGTAGGGAAACAAGAGGTGGAGGCACAAGTATTTTTATTAAAAGTGGATTAGAGTATATTATCACAGATACTCCTATAATTGCTGACTGCAACATGGCCTCTATACATCTTTTAAAACTAAAATGTACAGTAATAAGCATATATAGACCTCCTGCAAGTGATATGGGAATATTTATAGAAGGCATTAATAGAATCATGAGTGAGCAAAAAAAACAGTGCCTAATTATTGGTGACATGAACATAAATTTACTGAACGAAAATGAAAAGGTAAATGAATATAAATATAATATTGAAATGGCAGCCTTTTCAATACAAAATAAAATTAACATATCTGATGCCACCAGAGAAACAAATTCCACTGTCAGCATAATTGATCATGTGATTACAAACAAAAATATGGTGTGTAACATAAATCTATATGACTCTTTCATTACAGATCACAAGGTGATGCATATAACAATAATTAAAGAACCTAAAATCAATAAAAAAGAAAACATTTTTAGAAAATCAATCGACACGCAAAAATTTAGAGAAAATGTGAAATTAAAGCTACAACAAAAAAATATCGAATCGTTCCAGGATCTAGCAATAATGGTAGCAGACTCAAAAAATGAGGCAACAAAAGAATATAGCATCAAAATATGCAACAACAACTATTGGGTTACAGTGTCGTACCTGAAAAAAGTTAAAGAGAGAGACAAACAATATGTGAGATGGAGAAGATTAAAAAATCTGGAAACAGAAAATAGCTTTAAAAGGTTGAAAAATGAGGTGAATTCTATGAGAAAAAAGCTGAAAAGGGAATATGCTGAAAAAAAAGTATCTGATGCCGGGAAAGACTCAAAAAAGTTATGGAAAACCCTAAATGAGCTCTGTTCAAAAAAACAAAACATACAAAACAACATAAAACACATTCTGAGTGAAAATGGTGACGAGCTGCAAAATGAAAGAGAAATAGCTGAGGAGTTCAACAGATATTTTGCCCAGGTAGGACAACACCTTGCACAAAATATACCAGATGTACCAAACCAGCAGTTTGAAGAAGAAGAAGTGGCATCAACTATCTACTTTTACCCTACTGACTCACAAGAAGTAGCCAATATTATAAGAGAATTGAAAAATAATTGCTCACCAGGTGAGGACCAAATCACAAAAAAAGGACTTGTTACAAGTTCAAGACCTACTGGAAGAAACGATTGTTGAACTCATCAATAATATATTAGGGACTGGCATATTTCCAACAGAGTTCAAAAATGCCAAAATAACTCCTATATATAAAAAAGGGTCACATAAAAATACAACAAACTATAGGCCCATATCTGTATTGTGTCTATTCTCCAAAATTGCAGAAAAAATAATAAAAACACGAATAATTAACTTCATAAATAATACATCTGGTATGGACAAATATCAATATGGTTTCCAGAAACAGAGCAGCACCCTGGGAGCGACGGCTGATCTGCTTGAATATGTGTCCTCTGAAATTGACAAAAACAAATATGTGCTGACTATATTTGTGGATCTCCAAAAAGCCTTCGACACAGTTGATGTAGATATTCTTCTAGAAAAACTGGAAAGAATGGGCTTCAGGGGTGTTGGATATACACTTATGAGATCATATTCTAAGTATCGGACACATTGCACTGAAATTAACAAGATCAAGAGCAATAAAGCTGAATTGAAAGTCGGAATTGCCCAGGGTTCTGTACTTGGCCCACTGCAATATTTATTATATGTTAAAAATTTAAAGTATGCAGGTCTGAAAGCCAAGTACTTTATGTTCGCAGATGATACAGCTTTAGTTTTAACTGCAGATAATCCCGAGGAACTCGAAAATCTAGCAAACCAAGATTTGAACCTATATTTTAGGTGGTTGTGTAAAAACAAGTTATCAATAAATATAACTAAAACGGTGTATATGGTAGTGAAACAAAAAAACAAACCAAACTGTGATGTAAAACTGTACCTGAATAGAGTAAGACTGAAAGAAGTAACTGAATATAAGTACCTAGGACTTGTGATACAAAACAATTTGAGTTGGAATCTGCATGTTGAAAGTATCATTAAAAAAATTGTGCCCTTTGTTGGAGCTGTCAAGAGGTGTGCTGCAAGCCTAAACAAAAAAAACTAGAAACTTGTTATACAATTCATTTATCGTGCCACATATCCGGTATCTTCTACCATGTTGGGGTAATCTACCAAAAAACTTACAAACCAAACTACAAAGAGAGCAAAACAGGGTCATAAAGACTATTTACCATATTGAATATTCTACTCCAACAGAAGAGTTGTATGAACAAATAAAACTATGGGACCTGAATAAAATGAGAATATATGAACAAACTAAATTTATATACCTAATAAACAATAACTTATTAAAATCAAATTTAACTACAAAGCAAGTAAAAGAATGTCACACACATAACGTAAGAAATGCAGCAAATTTAAGAAATGATTTTTCAAGGACACAGAAAGCACAAAGTTCACCCTTATATGGAAGTATTCAAACATACAATTCTATACCACAGGATATTGTAAATATTGAAACTGTAAAAAAATTCTGTCATAGCCTTAAGTTATATCTAAACTAATGTGATTTTTGATAAGTTACTATAAAATTAATATTTTATATTGTTAATTACAATTACATTATTAACTTACTTCTGTAGGCCCTAATACCAGTAAGCTTAATTACTGTTTCAGGGTCAGTAATAAATAAAAAAAAAAATAAAAAAAAAAAAAAATTGTTCATTGATATCACTTTCAAATGCTCTCTGTGTTGTATTTCTAATTTTGACCAATTCAGTTCTGTTTTCTATCATTCCCAGGAATCTCATCTCGATTGATTTCAAACTTTTTTGGTGTCTATTTACTGTGGTCCATGTTTCATTGGTGTGACAACTTTTGTATGTATTTCTATTTTGCTTTTTTTTTTAATTTTTTTTTTTGCCTAGGAATGAGCTTCAAATGCTTAATTTTTCCTTTCGTTCTTATTTCCCCTGCTTGTTATAATAATCGAAATTGAATATTTAAAGTCTGGTACTTGTTTCGAGACTTCCATATTCTGCGTTTGCGCATTTTTTTTTTCATCATCGTTGTTTCCGTTTATCAAAAACCGAGTCAAAAACGTAATAAAGGTGCAAGGTGCGATTGTTAAGTCTTTATAAAGAACAGATTTGATATCATTGGAACAATTTTAGAAAATACTATAGTCATAAATCATGGAATTATAGTAAAATTACAACTGAGTACGATAACGGTGCCAATTTATTTTGCCAATTTTAGTTCAACCTGAAATAATTGAAACCTTGGCACTTCAATTTATTAATAAATAATTTTTATTTGAGAATCACAATTGAAACATTTTTAGATGATTTACAGTAGTAAGTTGATTTATTTTAAGAAAATTAAATCAACAATAAAAATCCTATATATTGCATTTATTCAATAAATGCACGTTATTTTTAGCTTCTTAATCATCATGAAAACCAATAAAATAAATCAGTTGCCCAATATAGTATAGTTGCGTGAGACTATCGCGGTCCAATCAAAAACAAATAATGCCATGCGACTCTTCAATAAAGCTAGCAACCTAGACTTAAACTCATCATAAAATGGAAAATTATTATCTTTGAAACCATGCTACTTTTTGCATTAACGATAATGAAATCGCTGGGTTTGTGTGTTTTAAGATTTCCTCAAATGAATCTTATATTTTTCGTTGCCTATCCAATTTGAATAGGATAAGTGAAGAAATAAAGCTCATCAACTTGCCAAAGGAACTAGAAATATAAAGCTAAGAGGATATTGACGAGGAAGACTAGATTTTATTATTAAGTTGGTATTATTAAAGTCTCGGTATTATGGAAAAAGCCTTGTAGCGTTCAGGTTTATTTTTGATAAGCAAGGACCAAGGCAAGGACGGTCTGTAATCCATCTTAATCTTTTTAATTGAATTTATTTCGGTATAGCTTACGTCTGCAGAATACAAAGTATGCAGGTGTGGGTTATCAACATGGAAATGGAAAATTGAAAAAGTTGATGGCAGATACCTCTAATTTTTGTGAGAAAAAGGGAAGAAATTCGATTTAGAATACATGAACGATCGCTAATTGAAGTAATACTTTTCTCTACCCATGGTAAATTACATTATTAGGTACATAAAAGTTCTTACCTGGATGTACATTAAGATGCTTTGGTCAGAAGGTCTATCGGTGATCAAAAATCTGAATCCCTTATAGTTGATTTCTGCTGGTGCAGGGCGGATGTCCTTTTGCCTCATCGCGCTGGTCATCGTTCCCTCTTGAATAAAATCAGTCACCAAATTGAAAAATATTGGTTTTTGAGAGTTGAAAGGTTAATTTATTACACCGTTTTATTAGAAATAATCAGTCTCTCGAAAACAATTAATTAATATTATTAAGTAACTTGCTTCAGGTAGTTATTTACACTAGTTGATATGCTTCAGCAATGTAAAAAAACTCAACAGTAAAAAAAGGCTCATGTGAAATGGTAATAGGAGCAAAATAAATTTCGTCTAGATTCAAAGCTTATTTGGCTTTTGAGGTAAATCCAATAAACTATGGCAATGATGCAAAAATGACTAAGTTCAATGAGTTAGTTTTTGCCTTTCCGTTCAGTTTATTTGTGTTGAGCCTGGCAATATTCCGCACTGTCCAACTGGAACTCCATGTATGCGAAAACGGGTTCACCAAAATACTGAAAAAAAAAACAATTATTAGAGAATTTTATTGATAGATGGATTGTAATTGCGATTTATTGAATTTGTAAGAAATTTATGAAACAAAACATTTTTTGAATACAAATAGACAAGGCGTCCTAAAACAGATCTCAGGAGATAGATATTTTATTTGAATAATTATCCTAATGATTGATTTTATTCTAAAAGTACAGTTTTGGATTTCTAATGCGTGATGGATGACCTTCTTCTTCCTTCTGTCTTATGAATATTTCCCAATGCAGGTTTTTTAGAGCTTAATAGGAGCTACAATTCCTAAAAACTTTGATTGAATATCTCTCACGGATTTAAAGATATTAAAGCTTCAAGATTTTGAAATAAAAATCCAAAGAGGGTAAGTAACTATTCTTTAAAAAAAATTGGAAATTGGATTTTTTTATATTTTTCGAATTTTGACTTTCCCAGTCGATAGAGCGGGTCTAAATTAGTCGAAAAAAAACCTTACCATCATTTCCAATTTAAAGAGAAAAAAAATCAAAACGAAAATTTCATTTTTGGTTCTGCTTTTTTTTTTATCATGACAAGGTTAAGAAAAATTGCCAATATTTCCATTAAAATTTGAACAAATGGAAATAAATTATAGTCAAAATTTAGTCAAAAACTTCAAACTCAATTTTCTCAAAAACTCAAAATATTTTCCAATACAAGTTTTCTAGAGCTTAATAGAAGCTACAATTCCTGAATATTTTGATTCAATATCTTTCACCTATTTCAAGATATTAAAGCTTAAAGATTTTAAAATAAAAATCCAAACCCTTTTAAAAAACTCGAAATTTCATTTTTTTATATTTTTCGAATTTTGACTTTTCCAATCGATAGAGCGGGTCTTCACTAGTCGAGAAAACCCCAACATCATTTCCAAATGACCAATTTAAAAAAAAAAATCAAAAAGAAAATTTAATTTTTTGGTTCTGAAATTTCTTTGAACAAGCTTAAGAAAAATTGCCAATATTTCCATTAAAATTTAAACAAATCGAAATAAATTATACACTTTGATGGCTGTTATGTATTTTGTATTCTAACTGGATAACCAGTTGTTGTAATCATTCTCATTATGATAGATAGAGATAGTCATTATTATTGTCATCTTTAATTGAAAGGTAAATATAATTCATCATAAGCTCTCAAAGAAGAAGTTGATGAAGAATTGGACTCTTCAGAAGCCCAAAAAATTATCGAGAAGATTGATCACTCAGATTGGGGTACACCCTTAGTTATTGTACCTATAAAGCTAGTGGAAAAGTAAAATTATGTACCGATAAAAAGTATCGATAAATCAACAATTAGAGAATTGAAGATCTATTTAACAAAATGGAGAATGGTAAATATTTTTGTACATTGGATGTTTTTGAAGCATATCTTCACATTGCTGTAGATGAAAAGAGTGCAAAGGCGCAAGCTATTTCAACTCACCATGAGACGTATTTGGTAAAAAGATAGTTTTTTGGTATTAAAACTACTCCAAATATATTTCACGAAATTATTAATGAAATTAAACAAGATCTGGATGGTACCATTGCATATTTTGATGATATCCTAGTCTAAGGATCCACATTAGAAGTAATTTCGGTTAGTAAAAGTAATTGAGAAACTACAAAAATACAATACGCATTTGAACAAAGATAAATGTAATTTTTTTAAAGAGAAAATTAAATATTTAGGACATATAATTAGTGAAAACGGCCTACAAAAATCGAAGAAGAAAGGAATTTTTAAGCTATTTTAGAAGCGCCACAACCTAAAACAATGGAAGAAGTTCAACAGTTTCTAGGTATGATTATGAATTATTCAAAATTCATTCCCAATGCATCTACACTTTTATATCCATTAAACAGGCTTCTAAGGAAAGATGAAAAATTTCAATGGAAAGAACAATGTGAACAATTCACAGAAGCTAAAAATTAAATAGCAAGTTAGAGAATTCTTATACCGTTTTCCCCAGATTTTCCTTTAATTCTTGCCACTGACTGATGCCAGCCCATTTGGGCTGAGTGCAGTTTTATCTCATTGTCTTCCTAGTGAAGAAGAAAGACCAGTTGTCTTCATTTCAAGATCTTTAACGAAAGCTGAGAGTAGTTATAGCCAATTAGACAGAGAAGCAACTGCGATTTACTGGGCTTTCAAAAAAAATGTACCAATAAATATATGGAAAAAAATTAGTTACATTAGTCGTAGATAACAAACCACTCATGAAAATGTTCAAGTCTTTGAAACAACGAATTATATTATTGAATACAAACGGTCTCAAGAACATATAAATGTTAACTATCTATCAAGAAATCCTTTACCATTAAAAGAAGAAGACGACACTTTCACAGATCAAGAATATATCTCAAATGATATTTCTATAAATCAAACAACCAATGGAGATATAGCAAAAGAAACCGAAAATGATCCAGAAATGTCAGAAATTTAATATAATCTCTTTAATGGGAAAACTAGAGATTATAATGCCTAAAAGTCCAATAAAACCAATAATGCTAAAAAAGTTGCATTCGACACATATTCGAATTGTGAAAATGAAAGCCCTTGCTCGAAATTATCGTTTTTGGAAGGGAATTGATGCAGATATTGAAAATACCGTCAAAAGCTGTTTACCTTGTAATATACAAAAAAATCCTGTTAAGGCGCCAGTTTATCAATGGGAATCTCCAAGAGAAAATTGGCAAAGAGTGCATATGGATTATGCTGGACCTTTCCTAAATAATTACACCCTAAGAAAAAACAAAACTTGAAAAAAAAAAAGGTATTGCTTTCAACGAGGGTCCATTTGCTCCAAAAACAGTGCATATGTGCAAGCTATGTGTGCGTATCCCCACTAGGCCACGCCATGCCTCTGGAAGAACTTGTAGAAATCCAAGTAATAAAGTGCGCAAAACATTACCTTCTATAAACTATAACGATACATTTGGCAACGGAGGGCATTTTAGCCGATCCTAAACGAACCCATTAAGATCGGTGCAACATTTTGGTGAATTTAGCCACACGCGGAATATCGTTCTGCATCCTTCGTAGCTCTGTATGTCTGCTCCCCAGACTCTTCTGGTCTAAACTAATCAAAAAACAACCCTAAAATCATTTCCAAATTACCAATTTGAAGAGGAAAAAAATCGAAAGGAAAATTTAATTTTTTAGTTCTGAAGTTTTTGACTGAAATTCAACTTTGAAACTCAATTGGTAAAAAAGTATTTCAGCTATTAAACTCAAATTAGTATGGATTTATAGAGAATTTAATGCTCTTTCTAATAGCATATAATTTATTTTGATTTGTTCCAATTTTAATTGAAATATTGGCAATTTTTCCTAAATCTTGTTTTGATTCAAAATTTTCTTTTTGATTTTTTTCCTTTTCAAATTCGTCGGAAATGATGTTAGGGTTTTTTTTTTCGACTAATTCAGAAACGCCATAATTTACCCAAACTCGATTTTGGCACCTTTTATACCAATTTTTTTTTATATTTGTAAAAGCAACTTAATATAAAATGCTAATAAATGTAAATAGTACAGACAGAGATAATTATGTTTTTAGAAATTTTTACCAACAAGAAAAGTCCCTATAAAAGTCACAAAATGAAAAAAATGGTGAAATTCAAAGATATGTACCTAATATGGAAACAAAGAAAAAATAAAATTCTAAATTGATTTTAACAAAAAGCAAAAAATGGTTATAAGCATGGCTTGGGTACTGACCTTACTCTTAGATAGGACAACTGTTCTGGGCAAACAGTAAGCCATATCGAAAAAGAAGAACAACACTTGACAAAAAAATCGAAGGTAACACAATACGAGAACTACCAACCCGCGTTGACTGATGGGTACCGGTAACTGAGAGTACTGAAACTAAACAGCGTCCCCTGGACGACTCCTGGTTCGGAAAAGAGAGGGAGAGCAGGACAAATAGTTATTAGGTCTGTTCGCACAGAAATCACAAACCAATCAGAGCGAATATTATTTGTTGAAAGCCAGTCAGAAAACCAGTTTCAACCAATGAAATTCACTCTGACTGGTTTGTGTCACCCCTCCAGTTTTTCCTTCTTGTTTCTTTACTACTTCACGAAGATATGTTGAAAGCCATACCAACATAATGTAATACATTATAATTGGAAATCTGGGTGCGAGAATAATAAAAGGATGCGTAAGACATTTTGGAAGTAAATGAGAGGTATGAAATTCTAGTGGACTAGTCGCCAAAATGGGTGATAACAAGTGGACGGAGAGGATCACAAAGATCAGACGCATTCAGAAATAATAGAGGAAGACCTTTTTGGGTAATCTCTGACAACATTTGACGGTAGTTTTTACCCTAATTTACAAACAACCCTGTCTTTTCTGAAATAAATTCTTCTCCTTTTACGCTCAGTAAAGCCTATAAAATATGTAATTATCTGACTATAAAATGAAAAATATAATTTTGTTTTTATGTAGGTACATACATGTAAAAAAAAAAAATATATATATTCATAAAAGTAAAAACAGTGAATATAAAATGCTAATGATTGTAAATCCTACAGACACAGAAAATAATTATTAAGAATTTTTTATTCCGAAGACAATTCTCTATAAAAGCAACAAAATTAAAAAAAAGGTAAGACTCAAAAGATACCTACCTACCTAACATGAAAGAAAATGAAAAAAAAAAAATAATAAAAATAAAAATCCTAAAGTTGATTCCAACAAAAATCAAAAATAATTATAAGCATGGCTTTGGTACTGACCTTACTCTTAGGTAGGACAACTTTTCTGGGCACAGAAAAAGACATATTGAAAAACAAGAACAACACTTGACAATGGAAAAACTCAAAGGTGACACAATACGAGAACGACCAACCCGCGTTCACTGGATGGGTACTGGCAACTGAGAGTACCTACTGAAAGTAAGCAGCGTCCCCTGGACGACTCTTGGTTCAGAAAGGAGAGAGAGAGAGAGAGCAAGCGAATTGTGTCGCCCCTCCAGTTTTTC